AGGGGGGGGGGGGAACATCCTTGACTTGGTCTTGACCAATAGGGAGGAGCTGATGGATGAAGTACAGATTAGGGGAGCTCTGGATGCGAGTGATCACTCCATCCTTTGCTTTGAGATCAGGAGACTGGGGACGTGCAGCAGGTCGAGCACTAGAAGCTGGGACTTCAAGAGGGCCAACTTTGGCCAACTGAAGGACAGACTGGGGAAAGTCTCCTGGGATAGGTTACTGGAAAGTAAGCGAGTTGAGGAGGGGTGGATAGCACTCAAAAGGGAGGCTTTGAAGGCGCAAGCCTTGACGATACCTCTAGTCAGTAAGGTGAGGAGGTGGAGGAGAGCACCGCTATGGATGTGTAAGGAGGTGGTTAGAGGGATTAAATGAAAGAGGAACCTCTGTAGGAAATGGGTACTGGGGCAAATAGACAAAAGGGTATACCGGGAGGAGGAGACCCATTGCAGAAGGATTCTTCGCAAGGCTAAGGCTGATTACGAGCTGAGACTTGCCAAGAATATCAAGAGCAACAAAAAGGGCTTTTTTCAGCATGTAAATAAGAAGAGGGAGACAAGTGGTGGGACCACTAAATAAGGAGGAAGAAGATCCAGTGACTGATATGAGGGAACAGGCACAGATGCTAAATGACTATTTTGCCTCTGTGTTCTCCCCAAAGCAGGACGGGGGATATCCGCATAGGAGATTAGATGAAGCTGGTGACTTAGGGGCACAGATTAGAGTCACCCCCTTTGAAGTCGAAGGACTCCTCGGGGCATAGGATATTACAAAGGCGCCAGGCCCTGACGGGATACACCCGAGAGTACTTAGAGAGTTGACAGGGGTTCTCTCACACCGCTGGCCTCCATTTTTGAGACCTCGTGGAGAACGGGTGAAGTTCCAGAGGACTGGAGGGTGGCATCAGTGGTCCCAATTTTCAAAAAGGGTAGTAGAAAGGACATGGGGAATTATAGACTGGTTAGCCTTACGTCCATTGTAGGAAAAACAATGGAAAGGCTCATAATAGAGAGAGATCTAGTGATGCCAGATAGGGAAGGGAGGCTGACAGCCACACAACACGGCTTCCGCAAAAACAGGTCCTGCCAGACAAACCTTGTGGAATTCTATGACAAGGTTTCGAGATGGCTAGATGGAGGGGATGCAGTGGATGTGGTAAACCTGGATTTCAGCAAGGCCTTTGACAGTGCCCCATGATATCCTGGTGGAGAAACTGAGGAGTTTTGGGATACACCAAAGCACTGTCCGGTGGATAAGGCATGGTTGACTGACCGAAAGCAGAAGGTAACCATTAGTGGGGAACCATTGGGATGGCAGCCAGTGACAAGTGGGGTCCCCTAGGGTTCTTGTCCTGGAGCCGATCCTGTTTAATCTTTTCATTAACGACATGGAAGAAGGGGTGAACAGTCTGCTGATCAAATTTGCAGACGACACTAAAACTGGAGCAGTGACCACAACTGAGGAGCAGGTACTCCAGTTCCAAAAGGATCTGGACAGACTATGGAAGTGGGCAGGAGACAACAGGATGGCGTTCAATGTGGATAAGTGCAAGGTCTTGCACTTGGGGCATAGGAATAGCTGTCATAAGTACAGGTTAGGTGATAAGTGGCTGGAGAGCAGCACTTGTAAAAGGGACCTCGGGGTACTGGTTGACTGCAGGCTAAACATGAGTCAGCAGTTTGATGCGGTGGTCAAGAGGGCGAACGCCACCCTTGGTTGCATAGCCAGAAGTGTGGCTTCTAGATCAAGAGAGGTATTACTACCACTCTACACGACTCCGGTGCGCCCACAACTGGAGTATTGTGTTCAGTTTTGGGCCCCTCATTACAGAAAGGATATAGTCAGGTTGGAGTCAGTGCAGCGTAGGGCCACAAGGTTGGTGGCCGGTTTGCAGGGGATGCCATATGAGGCGAGTCTGAGGGAACTGGGTCTCTTCAGCCTGGAGAAGAGGAGACTCAGAGGGGATATGTTGGCAACATACAGGTATGTGAGGGGATGTCACACGGAGGTGGGTAGAGACCTGTTCTCCCCTGCAGAGGAAGGCAGGATGCGCTCCAACAGAGCCAAGCTCAGGGAGCCAAGGTTCCATTTAGATGCCAGGAATCACTTCCTGACAGTTAGGACCCCGAGGGTGTGGAATGGGCTTCCATGAGAGGTCGTTGAGGCCCCATCGGTGCGGGTGTTCAAGGAGAGGCTGGACGTCCACATGGTGGGCATGTCGTGAGCGGAGCTGGCTGGTCCCAGAGGTCAGACTAGATGGCCCAGGAGACCCCTCCTGACTCGCTCTGTTTTCTGTGTTTCTATGTGGAGTTGGTAAAAGGCTCAGCAAAGAGGGCAGTCTTAACCAGGATAGTAAAATTCATGCAAGGCAGGCCTTGGTGGTTCCATAATTTGGTGCTACCACAGAGAGGAACCTCTTTCTTGTAGCCAACCAGATGAGCCTTCTATGGAGTTGTCATTTCTTTGGAGAAGACATCAGCTGTTGAGTGTAGCATTCTTGACAATAATATTGTGGCATGAAGATACATTCTGTGAGATATTGTGGTTCCAAGTCATGTAGGGCTTTATAAATTGAAACTGGCACCTTTAATTGGACACAGAGCCATTTAGGTAGCCCTTGCTTGTGGGCCAGAACAGCAGTTATATATTTGGATCATCTGGTCTGAGTTAATAGGCCGGCTGCCTCATTTTGCACAAGCTGAAGCTTCTGAACTGTCTTCAAGGGTAGCCCATGTAAAGGGCATTGAAATAATCTAGTTTAGAGATTACCAGAGTGTAAATTACCGAAACCAGGCTATCCCTGTCCAGATAGGGACATAGCTGAGCCACCAGTAAAAACAAGTAAAAGCCACTCCATGCCACTGATACCTGGACAGTGACAAAGATGGATCAAGCAGCACCTCTCGGTTATGAACCTGAAGCTTCAAGGGGACAGCAACCCCCTCCAGAACAGTTTGAGCATGCTCCATCTGGTCAGATGAACCGCACACCAACAGTGTTTCAGTTTAGTCTGGACTGAGCTTCATTTTGTTAGCCCTCGTCCAGTCCAGTGCTATAGTGAGGCAACTGCTTAGCACACCCACAGCATCACTTGCTGAAGATGAAAAGGAGAAATAGAGCTGCATGTCATCAGCATATAGATGACAATGCACTCCAGAACTCTGGATGGCTCCACTCTCAGTGGTTTCATGTAGATATTGCATAGCTTAGGCAACCAGAGCTGCCCCTGAGGGACCTCATACTGGAGAATCAGTGGGGCCAAGCAATGTCCCCCCAAGCACAAACTCCTGGAGCCAACCCTTCATATAGGAGCAGAACCACTGCAGTGCAGTACCCTCCGCCCCCCACTGACTTCCAACTCAGTTATCCCAGAAGGATACCTTGGTTGATAGTTTTGAAAGCTATGGAGAGATCCAGCCAATCTAAGTTGACTTATAAAATAGCTAGACACACAGCCTTTCTGAAGTCAATGTTTTTATGTGGAAAATATTTTAACTTCACTGCCATGCTTTTGACTTATTGATTTGAACATGTTGAACATAAAACTAAAGCTGCTGTTTCAAATCCTTTTATTCAGAAGGGAACTCAGGAGGTTCTCCTTGCAATGCACTGGCATGTCCTCTACTAATGGTTTCTGCATGTGCACTGCATTTCTTTTGCAGATTTGTACAAACTCACTGCAGAGCTGCTTGGCGAGGGATCCTATGCCAAGGTACAGGGAGCGGTTAGCTTGCAAAATGGGAAGGAATATGCAGTTAAAGTAAGTAATGTAACCCAAGGTTCTTTTCACTCATTTGAAGGTCTTCACTGCTTGAAAGTGCTGTTGTGTCTCTCTCTTGTTACCATTCCTAAAGTATCCTGGCTTGAGTGATAAGAAATGTAGATTATAATTCTGGTTACAGATTTGGCATTCATCCTGCAGATCTTTCTTCCCCATGCAGTTTGGGAGGCAGAAAACTGTGAGTTTTAAATGCCTCCTGAAAATGTACTTTCGCACATGCATTCCTTCACTTGTGATTGATTATCATGATGCTGCTCTGCAGTTGGAATTGTTTGTATACTGAATATTTTACTACTGATCTTTAATATGTGAACATCTAAGCCACTTAGAAACATTGTTGTATCAACTGGTGCTCCAACAGCAACCCTGCAAGACATGTTAGGCTTGAAAGGGCTCATTCCTGTATCTCCAGATCAAGGTGTGGAAAGGTCTGAACCATCATAGTAATGAACTCACATTTCTTATATTGTACCTCTAGTCAAGCAGATGGTGCAGATTGTCCAAACAATGGAAAAACCTGTTTTGCAGAAAGTGTGAACAATGCTGATAGTGTATAAGTTCATGGCCAACTGCCTGCATCAGTTTGGGAACAAAACCAAACCTTTGTCAACTTCCTCTCTTAGATGCAGTTGCCTTTCCATCCTGTGTTAATCAACATGAAATACTCAGCCAGTTCTGCATTATTTGCAAAGTTGCATAAAGATTCTGTACAAATGTGCTTTTGATCTGCAGCCATGTATAATTACATAGATCATTTGGCTGGCCTTCATAGCCAGCTGCAAATTTGTGACCTTTCCCTTTGTCATGCTGTGCAACTCTGGGAGATCTGAAACAACACCTCTCTATCTCCAGCTTTGATTTTGAGGCTTTTTTAATATTTAGTAACCTGTTAGAAATAACCTTGTTAGAAAATAAGAGCATTAGAGTATTAACAGACCTAATGTCAATAATAATTTTATTGTTCTTTCATTCCTATGGAAACTTCTGTTTAATTTTTTTTTTCAAGAAATGTGAGTAACTGCTCTACAGCAGGTTTGTATTATTTAAAAAATGGCTTTCTATTTTTGTAACAGATAATTGAAAAAAATGCTGGGCATAGTCGAAGTCGGGTGTTTCGAGAAGTGGAAACATTGTATCAGTGTCAGGGTAACAAGTAAGTAATTGTTACAACATTAAGGCTTGTTACAATTATTTATTAACGCTTTTCCTGCCACACACAAAGTCAGAGCTGGTAATTTATTTGTAGTGTGTGTATCAGAAACCAGTTTAAAATACTGTTATTTTGCAAACTATGTTCATTAAGCATGTGAAAGAACTATGATTTGAAGCAACTTCTAGCTTGACATCCTCTTGGTTCCCTATTTTTAAAGCAGGCTCTGGCTAAAGAAATATTACTTACTACCATTGAAGCAAGGCAAATGGATTTCTCTCCATATTTGGGAAGATTCTGCTCCCCACTCAGTTCATTTGAGAAATGCAGGCTTAAAATATATATTCTAAAATTCTTCCTGTCAAATGAGATGAGAAAAATATTTAACTGAGTTTACTGCAGAAAGTTTGCTTTATGACTGGGATATAAGATTGTCAGTGCCTTCATATGCTAATCTGGATTGCTGTGTAGTGGGATCTTTAAATGTATGTCTGGTTTTTGAGTGTTCAGTAGACAAAGGTAGACTTCTCATTTTCCTAAGGCAGCAGAAAAGATGAATGGGTTTTTGAAGACTTTCTATAACAAATTATGGGTCTGGGATGCAGTGACGTATTTCCATGAGGAAAAGTAGGCCTGATGCTGGTAGTATTTTAAAGGTTTTTAAACATATCTACCAAGAAGTCTGAATTATATGACAGAAAAGGGTGTGTCATCCTAGTAGCTATGTGGAAGTTAGCCCCCATGGGCTTGCTTGCTATCTTGCCATGTTTCTTTAGTATTTATTGAGCATTTCAACTGATGGCTTGGCCCTGGCAACTTGGTGCAAATTGGCATCTATACAGTCTTGCCTTATCAATTTCCCTTGCGTTACGTACACCTCTGTTTCTCCCCTTGACAGCTGAAACATGAAAGAAATGGAGAAAGCAAGCCTGCATGTATTGCACCTGTGAAAAAATTCCAAAATAATTAGGAACACATTTATGCAGTGTTCTAGGGCAGAAAAAACATGTCCCCAATTGCACATTATCAAGGCTCTAAAAATTAAAAAGATGAGAAAATAGCAAAAAAAAAGTAGCAATTGGAGCAGAGAGGAGGAGACAAGGCACATTCTGCTGCAAATGACACAAGGATATTAGCTGGAGGACTAGGGCGGAAGGAGGGAAGGAACAATCCACAGTGAGCCTGATCATCTGTTGGATGTACTGTGGGTTGTTCCATAGATTATTCACAGGGTTGCTTAGTGGGTGAATTTGCATAGCCCACTATCATCTCCTTGGAATTTCAAGCATGCAGTTTAATTCCACTCAGCGCACTACCAGTCCAACCTTTAACTTGATATTTTTTCTCTGGCCCTAGTCAGGAGTAAAGAACACTTTTGTTTCATCCCACAGTTAGCATTCACATAACAGTCCCTGTCCATAACATTGCACATTAAGTTAGCTTTTACAGGTAGCTGTGGTTTATGTACAAAGCACTGCTATTTTTACATTCAAGAAAAATGTATTTGCACATTTGTTATGGATTTGCTATTAATTCAGTGTAATGTCAATTATGTTAGCAAAGTATGCATCTAGTTTGGAACTAAAACGCCCTTAATGAAAGATGGATGTGTGACATTTAAGCTTTATTCATATTGATTTTTTCTAGGACTATGTGTTATACTTGTTCAGGAGATTTTGATAGTGTTTTTCACTAATAAGAAAGTCTTTTTAATGGTCCTTTGGAAGTGTTGTGCCTTTTTATGGAAAGAAAAACTTTTAACACAATTATCTTTTTTTAAAGGAATATTTTGGAGTTAATAGAATTTTTTGAAGATAATGCAAGATATTATCTTGTCTTTGAAAAACTTCATGGAGGTAAGGCCTACCTTTCTTTTGTTCATTTTTTTGTAATTAAGTAGCTAAGGCATTAGTTTAAAGCCTCATCCTTAAGATAAAGGAACATGGTTAAAAGACAACAGAATTACCTTTTTTTGTTTCCCTGGATGAAAAAAATCCTCAAAGGGAAACATTTTGCCAGTGTGGAAAAGGTGAAACAAAAAACAGCAGAAGCACTAAAAGACATCAAAATCGACAAGTTCAAAACCCGTTCTGGGCAGTGGAAAAAAGTCTCAATAGGTGTACATCAAACAAGAGTACTTTGAAGGTGACTGAAGTTTGAACATGTAAAAATAAATACATGATTTTCTATAAATTCCTCTTTTTGTGTCTCCCCTTATATACTATGGTTTCCCAGTTTCAGCAACCAAACCAGTGTACAGTGTGACAGAATTATATGTAAACTCACATTACCCATATACAATGTGATCAAGGGTGGCCTATAATGTATCCCTCTTCCATAGTATGGCCATGAAGTTCTTTTGTTTGTTCTTTTATATCAAATGGAATAAACTGGGATAATAAAATGTGGACAAATATGCTTATTTACATAATTGTCATTGCTACAGAGCTTCATCCATGCATATTGAATAAATTTAGCCAAATTGGCCAAAGTAAGCATAAGGTTTCCTATAAATCAGTGTTTCCAAAAGTGAGGGCAGAATCCCCCTCCCCCCCCCAACACACACACTTTGCAACTTATGGGGCTAATCAAAACCATGTATAAATGAAGGCTTCCATATCTAGTAGTAGAAGGGAAAATGTATTTGAATGAAAAACAGTACTTCTTGAAAGAGTCTTACATTTGCCTAGTTCTATCAGTTAAGAATGTATTGTTCATCTTGTGTAACATCTTATTTCCTTTAGAATTCAGTTTTACCCTTTAATTGTATAATTGTGTCTTGAGATTTTCAGTCATTGCCTGCTTGAAAGACTGCTGCAGTGTACATGTACCATATACAATAATATTCCTGACTTGCTGGCTGCCAATTTACTGCCAGGTTAAATTTAGGCAGTAAATTTAGTATTAACCTATAAGGCCCCAGATAACTTGGGACTCGGATAGCTCTGCAATCACCCAGAAGCCCTCTTGGCACTACAATATTTCACAGATGTCCATTTGATGACAACCAGGAAGAAGGCCTTTTTGTGGTGATGTCCACCTTCTGGAATACCCTAGCTCCAGCTATAATCCTGACAATAATCCTGTGCATTGTTTTGAATTAAGCATAGTTGACTTGTGACTCAGTTGGTAGAGGGCATGCTTTTCACAGGTTTACTTTCCTGTATCTCTAGGTAGGACTGGAAAAACCTCCTAGGGGAGCTGCTGCTTGGCAGGGGCAATAATCCTGGGCCAGATGGACCAGTGGCCCATCTCAGTACAAGGCAGCTTCTTGTTCTCTTGTGTCCCCGTGTTTTGGTTCTGAGTAAGCACACACAGATCAGACTGCACATTCTCTGACCTGTTATTGATCTGTGAAATTGTTGGCTGTTACAGCAGTTTCTCTGCAATAATTACCTTGGCCCTTATTTTGATTCAGGTAAGAGCTGTGCTGTTCATTGTGAACCTAACACATCTGTTCACTCTATGGTTCCTTTCGGATTTTTGCTGCCAAGAATTGTTTGCATTCAAGTAGTTCTTTTTTTTTTTTTTTTTTCAAAAGCACCTGCTTGCCCTTTTTCTCAACAGGCTCTATCCTGGCCCACATACAAAAGCAGAAGCACTTCAATGAACGAGAAGCCAGCAGGGTGGTGAAAGACATTGCCTGCGCACTGGATTTCCTGCACACAAAAGGTGAAAATCCCTATCTTCCATTTTACCAACTTATTAGCCAACAGTTATTAGGCAACCAGCAGACCAAGTCTGCTAATATAAACATAAAATCACTTTGAAACTTGGAGTGTTTCTGTGCTAAATCATGTTAGATTTTGCCTCCCCACTGTCGCTACTGGAGTTGTAGCAACTATCACAAAGGTTGCTGGCTTGGTGCCACAGTGGCTGCATTTAGTACAGAAATGAACGTGGTCCCTGTGTGAGTTACTGGGCTCAGACATGAAAATTCAGAGTAAGCCTGTTTGAAGAAAATAATAGCATTCATGTTCTTCATATTATTTGTGCTTTAAGATGTCCATTGTGTCTGCTGGTCAAATTTGTGGTGTATGAAAAAGGGTAGTTAATTATGAACAAGCCTTTCTATTATGAGTCAGTGTACACTGAACTCTCTTTTAGAGGATGACTTTTCCAAGCTAAGATCATATGAGCAATAAGCTCTAGATAATTTAATACTGCAGTCCATAGGAATTAAAGGTTCTCTAGACCAGATATCAGGGCTTAGATATAAATGTAGGGTTTGTATGTGTGGCTCTGAAGAGGCAGACGGATGTGCTGCTCTGTTTAAATATGTGTAAGACCAAAACAACTTTTGTCAGCTTTGAGACATTTCTGCAGTATTCTTTTAAACAGCATATATTTCAGTTGATAAGTATCCTGCTATTGCAAGATGGGAGGTAGCTTTTTGCCTGCCAAAGTGCTGCTACTGGAGTCACAAAGCATGCATTTCTAGGTATGGCTTTGAGAAATTTGTATAATAACAACAGCAACAACATTGCATTTATATCCAACCTTTCTTCCTCTTACAAGGTGGCCTATAAGGTTCTTGCTCTTCTCGATTTTATCCACACAACAACAGTCCTGTGAGGTAGATTGGGCTAAGAAGAAGTGGCTGGCCCAAAGTTATCAATAGGCTTCATGGCTGAGTGAGGACTAAAAAGCAGATATCCTGGGTTCCAGTCCAGCACTCTTAAGCACTATACCACAATGAGTCTTTAGTTGGTGATGGCTGCTTGGTTTTGCTGTATGTGTTTTATTATACCTAATAACTGGCCAATACTTCATGGATCATCTTAAAAATACACTCCTAAAAACATGTGCCTGTAGGAAACTAGCTTGAGAAACCATTTCATGTGGCTTTTTAATGCCAAGCAATTTTTACGCTTTCCCATTTGAGTGCAAGCTAGGGAAAGGATCATATGTTGCACTCAATGAGGAAAAAACTTGATCAATAAAGCTGACATCTTTCTATTTTGTCTTGCATTCTCTGGTACTACTGTAGCAACAACTCCATAGTATGCTGCAAAGTTAATATTATTCCATTTGAGGGCATAGATACGGAGGGTCTCAGATGACTAGACTGCTAGAGAAATTGATTTGTGGAAATATCACTGCGGAGTAGAACAGCTTGGGATATATGGGGAGAGTGCTGAGAAAACAAATACTGGATTAGAGAAGCTTTGTTTAGTGCAGTCTGCAGCTTACAGTGAAGGACAACCTGGGCAGACTAAGAGAGAAACTGGAAGGGGATGCTGTTTAAAAATGCATTGAAGAATGGGTGGTATTAGGGTTATGAGGTAGCATTATGGTAGGGTTATGAGGGTATTTCTTTCTGGAAGTGATGATGCTGAAAAGGAATAAGCTGCTGAGATGTCATCTTGAGCCTTAAAGGTGATGACATGAATGCTCTCTCCTTTCCAAATTGACTCTGTGGAAGCTTTAATCAGTGCTGTGAAGGACTGGATGTGTGTGCACAAACTGAATCTCAGTCCAGATAAGATAGTACAGCTTACAGCAGCAGTAGAACCAATTTTGGAAGAAGAGTTCAACATGTTCCAAATAGTTTTTCTCTCCCCAGAAGCAGTTTGATGTGCTTCTTAATTGAGTGTTGTTCCCAGTAAACAGGTAGTGGTTGTAGCCAAGGACATTCTGCCCATTTCTGACTTGCCACAGTCAGTGCGTCCTGGTTATGCCTAGATTAGGCTGTGTAATAACATACCTCTTGGCAGCTTTGGGAATCTTGAGGTAAAGCAGTACCAGGAGCCTGGTCACCGAACAGGATTGCACTGGTTTCCAGTTTTTTCACAGTCTCAGTTATACTGCTGGTTCTTGCTTTTTAAAGCCCTGAATGGACCCAAAGGATTGTGAACTTAACCTACACACTCAGGTGATCAAAAGAGATCATTTGCATGTCTCCCCACCCTGTGAGATGTTGTGAACATGACTCATCATTAGCACTATTCCACTTATGGAATTCACTGCCTGAGATGTTGGATTAAAAAGTTTCTATTTGAGTGGATGTTTCATGCTGTATCATTGTTCTCTCTCTCGCCCTCTCTCTTTCTCTGTGCACGTGTTTGTGCACGCGCACCTATTTTGCACTAATGATGCTTGACTTGTTTTTATTTCTTAGTTATGCTCTTAATGATTGTCAGCCATTCTGAGGATGCTATTTCAGTGGAAGATGGGGGAGGTACATTTTTTTAGAAACAAACAGTGAATTAAAAACATGATAAATACTAGTTGATTTGGAATTCTGTGGCGTGCTTATTTTTAAACTGTTCATGGAAAGCACTCTATTCTGCTTGCTCATTGAAAGAAATGACAAAAGCACTGATACCCCAAAGACTTTGCAAGCTGCTGCTAAAATTATGTTGTGAAAAAGAAGCTACACAGCAGACAGAAATGATTTTAAGTTTATCATCCGAATAACGAGTTTCTCAGTTTGTGGTTCCAATGTGTAGCATTAACTTCCTTATTAAACAGTGGTGTGCACCATATTAGGGTGCTGATGTATTTATTTCAGCTTACATTTAGTATTTTACTGTTTAAATTTGCAGGAGGGGTGCTAAGAGTTGCTGATAATGTTTCAACTGGCATTGTCTCATACCTTACTGATGCGTGGAAACCTATCATTTGCATTCTGTTTTTAAGACAATATATAATATTTGCACAAAATTTGACCTTAGCAATAGTGCACAGTCACTATGTTATAAACATTATTAGGGTATTGCAATTAAGAGGGTACTACAACTGCCCTGCTAGTTCCACATTAAACTCGTGCCTTCTTCTTGTCCATGAGCTGAGAACTGATGTGTGATGCAAGTCTTGTGCATAGGTCTCCTTGGGAGCAGGTTTTCAATTCCCATAGAACTTCTGTGGATAGGGGAGAGCAAAAGAGCCCAGTGGCTTATTAATCACATGAGCTCCTTTCTGCAATTGCTGTGTGAATTAAGTTAGTCTTCTTTTTCCAAATGAAGGCAGAAAATTAAATGCGAATGCAAAGAAAAACTTGTAAAACTAACAAACAAAAATGCTCAGTGTTTCACAAACAAACATTGCTACTCAGGATATAACAAGCATGTAATTCAGTCTCTCAGATTAAAGGAATATTATAGCATTATATATTGGGTAATACTTCTTTTAATTCTGATTATATTATGTTTTGTATGCATTTCAATTATCTGGATGCCAGTTCCCCATGGAGGATTAGAACTTCCCACTGAATCCCTTTTTCATGTTACCTCTAATGTTTTGAGGACTGCTGCAGAATGCCTCCTTTCTATGTTGCTTCAAAATATGAGAAGCCAATCTTTACATGGGAGGAGGCAATGCCATCCCTCTGTCACCCACTAGAATCACCAAAATAGGATCCACAGTAGCAGAGGAATTAGCCCTGATATGGACTCTACCCTCATATGGCTACATCCCATTTAAGGTCTCATGTATGATGATGCTGGCAAAACCTTTAGTCTGTTCTTAAGTATCAAAATTTTAGTAATGGTGGAGTCATTTCTTCCCCTCCCCACCATGTTTGACATGTCTCTGCAAGGCTTGATGCATTCTTCTTCTCTTTGTCACTTTTAGGTATTGCTCATCGAGACTTAAAACCTGAAAACATATTGTGTGAATCTCCAAACAAGGTAAATTCATGCTTTCTAATCCTTTTCCCCCATTAATGGTCCAGGTTGAATGTCTTATTTCAGTGATGAGCAGAATTTAAGATTAAGAACAATGACTGTTAAAATTGTCAAGCGTTATTATATTTAAATCAATTAAACCATTCTAAATAAAATAAATTCATAATGTATCTATGGTTACAATTGTTAAGTAACTGTTACAATTAAACTATATGCTAATAATACTACCTCTAACTTATAGGGCTCTTATCTACCAATTCAACATGGGCATTCATCCAATGAAAGATTTATTTATTTATTTATTTATTTGGGTATTCCTAACCCGTCCATCACTACATGTCTCTGGACAGCTTACAACAATCATTCAGTAAGCACAATGGTATAAATATCAAATATACTAATAACCCAAACAATAGTAATACTAATAACACTAATAATCCATGACTGGAAAAAAATAACTATTTTTAAAAAAACTTTAAAATACTGGGTAAATAAAAAGGTCTTGACCTGGCACCGGAAAGCATATAATGTTGGCACCAGGCGGACCTCTCTGGGGAGTGCATTCCATAGCCGGGGCGCCACCGCAGAGAAAGTAGCAGCTCTTGGCTTCTTGAAAGTTCTGGGATTTTACTTTCCCTGACTAAAAGGCACATGTGCAAAGATAGGCTGGATAGGGCTATTTTTCTGTGCAGATGGGGGATATGGGCCAAGGAAGGCAGAGAGGTTAAGACAGGCAATGTAACAGGGTAGGTAAAACGAATGTTTAAGCTACATTTTGTAATGGGATTTTTTCGGGCTAGTGACTGTGGAGCCTTCGTCTGACTGATCAGTCATGAGCATTTCATTTTTGCTTGCTTGCTTGTTTTTTTTGTTTTTTTTTTGGTGAGGACATGACTGGGGCAAGGAAGAGTGAATCAGAATGATACTACTTTAAAATGAAAGACAAAATTACTGTGTCCATTTCCCTGCATCCACATACTGAAGCTGCAGCTTATACCTGCTTACCTAGGAGCGAGCTCCATTGAACTCAATGGAACCTATTCCTGAGGAGAAATTATGGGATTGTGCTGTTAACATTATATCATGGGTGTTGATCATAAGAAAGACCCTCTGTAGGTAAAAACTTAGCATGCAAAAGATATATTACCATATTTTTCGCTCTATAAGACGCACCTGACCATAAGATGCACCTAGTTTTTAGAGGAGGAAAACAAGAAAAAAAATATTCTGAATCAAATGGTTTGCTAAACTATAATCACATTCCCCATCACTTCCTCATGGGCTTCATTAAAAGACATGTCCTGGGCATCGGGCACAATGTGCTGCACAACTGACAGACATACTGCACACACATATTCGCTCTATAAGACGCACAGACATTTCCCCTTACTTTTGAGGGGGGAAAAAGTGCGTCTTATAGAGCGAAAAATACAGCAGTTAGACAAAGAGATGCTAAGTCTGCTCGAAAGAATGCAAGTGTAAATAATATGCTATTTAACTGTAAAGTAACATGGCTCATTGTTTAGACTTCCATTATTTAGAAAGTATGTATACAAAAATATTTCAGTAGGCAGGTTTTTCAGTGATATAAATCAACCTTCTTTTCTTTCTGATTTTAATCATTATTTTAAATTGCCTTCATTTGAATCAGTTCACCCTGTTCACCCTGATAATGTGTGTTGCTTCTTTTGGTTTTCCTTTCCCTCCCCTCTGACCATTTCAGGTGTCACCAGTGAAAATTTGTGACTTCGATCTTGGAAGTGGAGTAAAGCTTAACAGTGCATGTACTCCGATTACTACTCCTGAGTTGACCACTCCAGTATGTAGATTATTATGATTTTCTGGTGTTAGCCATACTGTAGGAATGAAGAGGGAGAGATGGGTTTCTTACCAGCAAAATTTTGTGCCCTAAAGTTGTGCAGATGTGTTTAATAGTTTATGTGGCACTTCAGTTAGTACTGCAAAATGTTCAGCATGTTGTTTATTCCTATTTATTGCATATCTCAGGTAGCTGGCATTTGGCAAGCAATTTGTTCAGGTAGACCTCATCCACTTTCAAAGCTATACACTCAAGTTTTTGATCTAAGAGAAGACAATTCCTTAACACAGTTATAGGGCTACTTGGCCCTAGACCTAGCACCCGTGATATTGCTCACAGCATGACTACTAATGTGTCTCTGCCTGAAAAAAGGTAGTATCTCATGGACAGGATCTGCTTTCAGATTTATGGGATCCAAGTACTGCCCAGTGTGCTTTGAGCTCCTTGACCCCAGGACTAGCATATTGTGCTAATGCCATGTGCTGGAGAAGGGCTTAATGCTAAATAGGAACATACTGTGCTGTCTTTAACTCTGAGAAGAGCTCAGTATTGTCTATACAGTCTGCTAGAAGCTCTCCAGGATTTCAGAGGTAGGTCTTTCTGGCCCTACCTGGAGATGCTGAGATTGAACCTGGGACATGATGCACACAAAGCATGTCTTCTGCCACTGAGCCATGGCCCTACCTCAAATCAAGACTTAGACTGTATTCACTGCAAGGACACAGAACATCAGGCCAGTGGTTTAACTCTGCAGTGGTTGCCAAAAAGCCCCACAACCTTTCCCCAGCTACCTGTCTTTTGGTGGTTTCCTGGCTTTTGTGCTGTGTTTTCTCCTTTCTAAAAATGAAATGCCTCTCCAGAGGCTTAGTTACAAGCAGTAAAAGCTAAAATGTATTGGGTAGATACAAATGTGGGGGGCTGTGCAGCAGCAGGATACTTCCCTACAGGAGGCAAGTTAGCCAGTGATTCACTTTATCAATAACATGGCACAATACACTTAGGGAAACATTGAAATTAAGCGTTTCTAAAAGCTGGCTGCAGAATGAAGTTGGTTGGTCTGAAAGTATTAGCATCTCAATGTTGGGCAGTTGAGAAGAAATGCTGGAAGAGTGTTTCACTTAAAATTTTATACAGTAGGCAGTGGAGGGGAAGCAGAAGGGTGGAAGCAAGTGCTAACAGAAGGTAGGCAGGAGGTGCCTTCAGGTATATGTACTTCAGGGCTTTTTTCTGTACAGGATAGGGACCAAGGTTGTCAAAGTCTACACAGAAACAGTGGAATTAAATAGGAGAGATTGGTATCATGGAGCTCTTCTAGGTGGCAGTTCCAAACATAGAGGGCAGAAAAGGGGAATGAGTGGGAGCCAGTTAAAGGAGCTGGAGATCTGGCCATGATTGAAAGTGGTAGTACTGGAGGCGCAAACATCCACATGCCTCAAGTCGCTGCAAGGAATTGCAAAAGGGAAGGACTGGCCAGGCTTGCTTTGAGTCTTGCTCTTCCTTTCACTTTGGGTTTTTCCTTCTCCCAGGTTTAGCTGGTGGTGGCAGTAATGAGGGATCTCTTAACCTCCTCTTGCCAGTGCTTAGACATGAGTCCTGCAGACACAAGGAACCCTGGAAAAATGCAGCCCATTCTTCCCCAGGGGCTCTTGCACCTGGAATGGTGTTATAATGCAGCATTCTAAGTATCTGGATGTTGGATGGTGGACAAACCCCAGTATGAGGTAGTGCTAGCCCTGGCCAGATTTCAAAAGCTGTTCAAACAGAAACCAGAGTTTGAAGGGTGTTTAACTATTTGTTAATACAACCAGAACACTGTCTGGCCCAGACCTGCGTGGGATTTTCAGTCACTGAAGTCTGACTCTTGGAGACTTGAAATATTAATGTTCTCTGTATGTTAAAAAATGTATTCTGTAAGACTAAGTGGATGGTATCCCTGTTATCTGTAAATGTAGGACTATCAAGTAATGTGTATCAAAACGCTTAAGAATTAATATTCTTGATGATTTCATTTGCTTTTCACTAATTCTTCCTGTTGCCCAGCAACTGTATATTAGTTTATTGCCAGAGTTGTGGGAGGCAGACCAGACTCGGGCTTATTTGCATGGAGTGAAATTTGCCTTGGGGGAAAACACTTGCATTTAACATGTTGAATCTGTAATGTCAGTTGAGGTGTACTGCAGATTTGTCTGTAATCCTGGGATTTCACAATCTTTAAAGTGAATGATTTGCAATAGGCTGACATTCCAAAGTATTAGATGCCTTTCTTCTGTACAAAAGTAGGTGATACTGTAATAACTTGAGGGAAACTGACATGGAATAGCTCAGTCCTGTATCATCACTATCTAGCCTCAGAATTCATGGTCCAAAGTGGCTGCAGGAGAATGCCATGTATTAGGTTTATGTTTTGCCACATACTGTGAAAACAATAGGTTTTCACAGAACCATGTGGTATTGCCACTGTAATGATAAATGATAATTTGAAGTAATTATATTGAAGAGTCTCATTAAAATGGTCATAAGCTTTCTTTGGAACAGAGGAAAATGGGTACTGTGTGCACCCCTTTTCTTTGTTTTAGAGGTACCTTTGGAAACAAAGACTGGGGTATTTATTGCGAATGTCCCCTTTCATTTTCAGTTGAATTTGAATGTATGTTTGCTTTCTTAAATTTTCTGGTATAAATTCTGTGTCTCAATTAGTGTGGCTCTGCAGAGTACATGGCCCCTGAGGTGGTAGAAGTCTTCACAGAGGAAGCCACGTTCTACGACAAGCGCTGTGACCTGTGGAGCTTGGGCGTGATTTTGTACATCATGCTAAGTGGCTACCCGCCTTTTGTGGGGAACTGTGGCACAGACTGTGGCTGGGATAGGGGGGAAGTCTGCAAAAGTTGCCAGGTAAGCACATTAGCATCTTGAGCATGTGTGGAGGAAGATTATGGGACTCTTGCTTACATGGCTGACCAAGCCAGTTCAGTGGAATGCTTTCTGTTCCTCTGAAACATTCTGCTGACTCAGCCTTCTCCAACCTGGTGCCCTCCACTTATTTTGGTCTACAGCTTCTAGCATTCTTAAGCATTGCCGTGCTGGTTGGGGTTGATGAGAGTTGCAGTCCAAAACATCTGAAGGGTGCTGGCTAGCCTAGTATTCACGGCATTGCTGTTTTCATGCCTTTCAGAACTCTGTAATGTAGAATCAGTTCCCTTTTTGTGGTAAACTCCACATATGTTATTCTGATTTGTAATACACTCTAATGAGGGAGAAGGCATTTTGAACTAGGAAATTATTCTCACCAAGTTAATTTCAGTTAAATGAGCCATATTCAAAATTGTGTTGCCTGGAGATGGAATGTATATTGTTCCCCATGTGGCCTGAGGCATTTCATAAGCTATATTGTCAATGTTACAATATAGCTTATGAAATGTGGGAAGATAACATGGTAAGGATTTTAAGGTGACTCAGGCTTCTTTTTTTAAAGATGAGAAGTCTTTGACTCTGAACTTTAAATACATGAACCAAAAAAGTATGCATTTCTTGTTACTAGAACAAACTCTTTGAGAGTATCCAGGAAGGCAAGTATGAGTTTCCTGATAAGGACTGGTCTCACATCTCCAGTGATGCCAAAGATCTTATCTCAAAGTTGCTCGTCCGCGATGCCAAAAAGAGGCTTAGTGCCGCTCAGGTTCTACAGCATCCATGGGTACAAGGTGTAAGTAGCTTCTTTCAAAGCAACTTTTATTTATATAGCAACATCAGTTTGTGTGGCATTTTCTAAAATAACATAAGTGGAAAACTCAGGTCCATCCATGGGCATTATCTTTGGGAAAAATGGGTTTTTTCTAAGGGCAGGAATACCCTTGGCTATAAATCTGAATAATGAAGCCTTATGTTATCTGGCTCAAGAATTTAAGTAGCATAGGTACCCTTGAAGGTCTCAACTGAAGGCCTAAATTATATCCTAATACAATGTTGCCCAACCTTTCCCATTTAAGTATGGTACAAGAACCTGAAACTGGTTCCTTCCCCTAAAGCATTTTTCCATCTTAAGTACCAAAACTGTAGCTTCTTCCTAGTCAACAGGTCTATTTCCAGTGAGTATTCAGTATGGGAAGAATCAAATCCTCTATCTTGTTATGTTTGGAATGCAGAGTTGATGCATATTTCGGTTGTTTGATGCACATTTATATAAATGTCATAATTATCTGTTCATCTAGTTCACTTGAATTGTCACTTATTCAGATGTGGCTGTTCAGAATGGTAATCTGTAAAAAGTTAAGGATCAATTGCTTATCCTTTGCTTAACTACAAATCCTCAATTTACCTTGCAATGTTTCCATTGTGTTTAGCATGCTTCTGAAAGAGGACTGCCTACACCACAGGTTCTTCAGAGGTAACCATTTCTGAGTACCTATAACTGGTTGTGTTAGTTGGAGGGTAGATACAGTCAAATCAGGACTTTGGGGAGTGAGCAGTCAGCTGCCTTCCCTTTGCAGGGTAACATTGTTTCTTATATGATAGGTAATGAAGAGACAATTTGAGCATTATAGTTTCCCTGATATAAACTGCTCTTCTCTATCTCTGCCCAATCCCAGGAATAGCAGCACAAAAGAGCTGACTCTGTTTGCCGCGGAAGCTATTGCTCTAAATCGCCAGCTCTCCCAGCACGAGAATCATCTCAATGAAGACCAAGAGACTATCACTCAGGCCATGTGCTCTATGAAGCTGTCTCCCCCCTCCAAATCCCGCCTTGCCAAACGCAGAGCCATGGCTCAGGCCACAAAAAGCAGTGACTTCCAGCCCGCTTCACATGCAACTCTTTGATGCTCATTTTCCATTGTTAGGATCAGGTCAACTTTGTACACTCATTTTAAAGGATGTATGCATATATTAATGTTTTAAATGAAGAACACTTGCGATGCAATGGTTTAAAGGAGTTCCCTTGACAATGCCTTTTTTGGAAGTTGATGAATATGGTGAATTATAGGAAGTTCTTAGATGTTGCTGCTGTGTTACTTAATGGTGTAATAAACGACAGGCTATGTTTGCACACAGTCCTCTCTAACCAGGGGATAAACCTCCACCACCAGTCTTGTGACTAGTGGAAATATGGCTGTGAGTTCTCAGGTTCTTGAAAGAGCTTGCAATTCCTAGACAACTCCAGGTCTCCACCTGTAAGCCACAGAATAAGTACGGTTGTCCTTGTTCAGGAAGCTTTGATCACCATGTGGATTTGTTTTTCCACTGGAATATGTCAAAATCCTTCATCTTTATCATGGGTCACCTCCTGTAATACCCTTTACTCATCCGGGTCCATAACTTGGCTGGATGTGTGTAGATGTGACTTTGGAATGCTAGCAGCATATCTATTTCAGTGCTAAGGTGAGTTCATCTGAAGTGGCTTTCATTTAGTCCCCCTACCCCACCTCCCGAAATGTCACATTTTAAACGTTTTGTTGGCAAAAAGCAATTTTGCAGTCGGCCCCCAGGATGCATTCCTCTCATTGCCTCCCTTTTTGCTGCAGTTTCCAAGTGATCTACTTGGGGAATTCTGCTTTGAATTGCTTGAAGTGTTTGGCCCAATTTTATATAGAGCATTTCTCTGAGGAGTGGACCTCACACAAAACTTCAGCAAGATGATCAAAACATGACTTCCCTATGTTAGTACCACTGGAAAGCTCTTCTCTTTGGGAAGAGTCACAAAAATGGGAATGCTTAAAAGCTCTTTTTTGTGCGTATCCACCCAAATGTGCAGTGCTGACGTGAAGTGTTGCTTGCATTCAGAAAGTGGCAGCAGTAAATAGCAGTTATATCGAGCTTCTCTTTGGCATGCCATTACAGGAAAGAGCTTCTTGGTGGTGGTTGCATTCAGTAATTTGCACTAATTCCTACTTGGGAAATGAAAGGTTTCTCCAGTCTCTTGCTTAGATACTTCCCCCTGATCTGGTATGTTAACCCCATAACAGTTCGTTTAAAATAAAGAATGTGCAAAAAATTTAAGCATGGCCATCTTGCAGATTTGCAGAATTATCTTTACCCAAGACACAGCACTGAGTTTGGGAAACCAGCATAGGTTTAGACCAGCTTTGGAGTGGTTGTCCTTGCTGTTAAAGGCATGTATTCCATAGGAAGGACATATCATTCAAGGCAGAACAAGAGAGCCCACATCTATAGCATTTTTGTAGCCTGATATTAATGCAAGTTCTCATGCTCAGCTGTAACTGCTTGCCATGCAGTTCTTTGTCCTTCCCTATATTACCACACCCAAGAGAAGGAAACTGGCATAGTCTTACATCTCAAGGCTTGTGCATTTTGGGGTAGGTTATGGCAGGACAAGTGAGGAAGTAGCATCAGATGGCTTATTAACTGTGACATATCATGTATGTGATGTCTCTTGAAGTGTGGGAGCTTGAGAATCACTCACGGTTGTGCAATGGTTGTTTTAAAATCAAACCAATGAGTTCATCTCGAGCATCCTAGGAGGCCTTTCTTTTTTAAAGGTGCTAAAGCTGTTCACCTCAGGAATTTAAGTCCCTTTTTAGATGAGTGTTTAAATTTGATAATTTTTGAAGTTGAAGGAGCAAGATGTCCTATCACCTAGAAGGTTTTTTAATGTAGGTTAGTCTGTCTGCTAGAATAGCCTGATCTTTTTCCTTTAAATGCAGCATGTGTATTTATGTAATTTTAAGAATTATTACTGCATGCTGGTCATGAATATGGCCATTACACTTAAGGGCTTTTATAGATTATACAACTGGTGACAGTATTTTTTTAAAAAATATATATACTGCTGTTTTAAAGGGTGCTTTAAGCTGTTATAGTTACACTGTACTTGTTAGTTAATGGTCTTTAAAAGCTTTGGATAGCTCAGGAGCCAATGTCCCTGTCCATGTGACCCATTTATTAATGTTGTGTATTGAAAATTAAACTTGGATCATTTCTAAACTGTTTTGTTTTCTTGTTGATCTGTTGAGTAACAAAAATATCCAGTTTTTCAAGCCAGCATGATATATGTTGAATAGCAAATATTCCAGCAGCTCTTGAAAAAGAAATTGAGGCTGCATCGTGCTTACTTCCTTTTGAATATTTATGGAATTGCATCTCAAATATATAAACAATCTGAAGAGTTCTGCACAGTTTAAAAATTGTATAAGGTGTCCTAAAAACTATGAAAATAAAAAGAGCAATTATATGAAGAAATATATCAGCCACTATATAAAACAAAAGGATTCATCTATATCTTGATCCAAATTGCATATTATTTCCATAAAACTGATCCAAGGTTGCCAGGCATTGTAACAGTTTTGTTTTGGACTTTGCAATGTCTTGCCATGTTCCTCTTCACTTGCTGGTTGCTCGGCATAACACAAAACTCCACCTTGGAATAAAAACAAAACACCTTTCTGCAAGCATGTTATGCGGCTTTATAAACAAAGATGTTCAATTGTTCCAGCATCAGTAGCTAGAAGATGAGAAGGAGAGAGGGGAATCAAATGTTGGTGATATTACAATGGATATTGAATAATTTTGTGCTGTTGTTAAAGAGGTGGACATCTTCTGGGAGTGGGCTTTAGTAATTGGGTGGCTATGGTCATGCTTCGCAGACGGTAAGTCACCAGAGTGAATGGATTATATTGTAGAATTGTGTTAAAAAGGAATTGGAGCAGCAGCACATCACCTTGTAGAGAAACAACTGGCTAACTGGGAAGCAAACGGAACATGATGAATATATGCAATCTGCAACACCTATTTTTTTCTATCAAAGAGGATTAACAATTTGTATTCACCTGGCTACAAAACTCTGTTGTTTGACACCTACATGGACTGCATTATTTGCAGAGACATCCAAGTGGACTGGGGAATCCTGGAAGCAGGAGGACTGTGTTCTCTCTGAACATGCATAAGACTCCCCCCCGCCGATAATCCTTTTCTAAGCTAGCATAGCTGACAAATCACAGCAGCAGCTATTTGGAATAAGAGGTTTCTTGGGATTTATAATATTTGAAATGGATATGCACACTTTTAGTGTATTCTTGATTTGTGGCAGCTTTTCATTCTGTATCTATTGCAGATCACTTGAAGCTTACTTGGCCTGCAATCCTTTATGCACTTAGTTAATGGTAATTCCTATTGAACACAGCAGGAATTACTTCTGAATTGACATGCATAGGGTCGCTCTATTCATCTTGGCAATCCAGATCAGACTAGTGGAATTGCTTACAAAAGAGTACCAGAAGTATAACAACTTGAATTCATCCCCATTTTTAAGTGTTTTGGTTAAACACTTGAAAGCTGGTGTACTTGAATCAGGCAGGATCAAGCTTGCATTTCCTGGTTTCTCTGTTCTTACCTGTTTGTATACCTCTATCACTTTCTTTTAACAAAAACACAAATTTTACTGATTACACTGCTAAACACAATTGAGATTTAAAAAATCTATACATTGACACTGTAAATGCATTACCTATATTTTTGTAAATAGGTGGTTAAGGTTTGTAATGGAACAGGAAGGAGGGCTATCACTATTATTTTCCTTGATTTGGGTAGATATATTTTTACCTCCAAGCTTGAAAAGGAAACCGCAAATTCAGAGGGCTCAATATTGAGTTGCTACTGTAATGGGGCCACTGAGAAGGTGGTGTCAGTATGGTTAGGTGAATCCTGGGGTGCAGAAGTAGGAACATTGAAAATATAAAAAAATAGCTTTTCCCTCCAAAACAGCTTACATTATTCTGGAAAATAGGCTGGCTGGAGTAAGTCAGTATTCCCTGTTAGGTATGAGGTCTACCACAACATGGTTGCAGGTCCAACTTGTCTTATTTCAGCCATGCAACTGAAATGGATGTGGGATTTTTAATTGCTTGCCTTCTTCTGTTCCAGCTCAATTCCATGGAGTCAAAGCACACAGATAACCCTGCAAATAAATATTGGAGCTTGTTCACTTGCAGTGCAAGGATTCTGCAGTGTGTCCCACATGGTTTTTTTTAAAGTTCTCTGTATCCTTAAAGTAGATAATTCATGCCAGGGATTGGGAAACTTGCGTCCCTCCAATTTTTTGGCTTACAGTTCTCATAAGCCCTAGCTAGATAACGAGTGATGAGGGATTATGGGAGTTGTAGGCTGAAACATCTAGAAGGCCATACATTTCCGCCCCTGAATCAAAGCACTGGGAAGCTTTTTCCTGTCCCTGTGTTACTATAGTGAGAAAGGACTGCATATATTGGCCCCATGTGGACACAGTTTCATTAATACTAACATTAGATACTGTCTACCTCGCAAATTAGGAGGCAGTGGAATTCATTTGTTGGATTCTTGTGGTGAATGCTTCTCTTTTAGGTTATTCCAGTGGTAAGGTACAAACCTCTAATTGGTTTCTTTAGGAACATGCTACCATAGCAACTGAAGACTTGATAGTTCTGAAGAAGCATATGTTGGTGCCTGCTCTCAAAGCTTCTCCTTCATGGCTTGCTCTGTCATTCATTTCTTACTGTTTGCTACCATACTCTACAATAATCAAGTCATTGCAATAATTTTTTGGCACTCTTTAATGGCTAAGTCATTAAAAACTTGCAGCCTTTTTCTTTGAAGAGACACTTTGAAGGACATTATCCCTTTTGCCAATAAAAACACAATACAATAGTAAATTGTTCATGGTTAAGAGGTATACTAATAGTGGATTGCCTAGTACAGTTGGTACAACTTAACTGATGCGGGTTAGGAGGGCTTGCCTCTCAATGGGAAGGAAGCATGAATCAATGGGAAGCATGAAGCACCTGCTTAGTTTCGCTAAGCAGGTGCTTTTTTAAATTGTATTCATCCCAAAATTCCACATAGGACCTTCTAGTGTATACAGGCCCAACTTCTATTAAAGAGAGTATGAGATCTTGAAACTGATTGGATTAACTGAAAATTGTTGCTGCTTTTTCCGATGGAAGTTCTTGAAGTTAACACCTCTTAATGCTTTTTTGGCGGGGTGGAGGGGAAAGGCAGGGAAAGTTATAACCACATATTCTGCTACATGTTCAGAATTTGGAAGCTTTGGTATTAAAGTTGTAAGAAAAAAATTGTATTTGCTGAGATGGAAAGAGATGCATGTTCACAGCATGTTCAGCTTTTCTTGCCTGCACAGTTGTATGAGAGCTGGTGCTGTGAAGAGGAGTTTATTTTGCTTGTTACGGTAGCTTGTTGTGACAATTGTTTGGTTGAACAAGTTGGGCTTATGCAGGGCAAGCCCTACCATTAGCAGAATGAAGCAGTCATCTCAGGCTGCTAATGTGAGGTGGCAGCAAGAGGAAGGACCTGTGTATTACATGACTTGCTCTGGATTAAGACTATAAGAACATATGAAGACCCATGCTGGATCAGACCAAGTCTTCATCTAGTCCAGCAACTTGTGCACATGGTGGAATGCCAGGTAGCCAAAGGATCCCTCAAGCGGGATGGACATATCCATCTGCCCAAGCTCCTCAGCAGCTGGTGGATGCAGGCATGCCACCTCTGCTAATGGAGGCAGCACATAGCCAGCAAGGCTATAGCCAATCATAGTCTCCTATGATTTGTCCAATCACCTTGTAAAGCCATCCAAACTGGTGGCCATTCCCACTTCCCATGGCAGTAAATTCTATAAGTTTCTGTTACGCAAAGTACTTTTATCTGACCTAAACTTCCCACCAGTCAGCTTCATGTGATAATGCCACAACGTTCTAGCATTATGGGAGAGGGCAAAAAAAATCTCTCCCTCTCCACTTTCTCCATACAATGCATTCTCCATACAAGTTTTGAACACCTTTATCAAGTGGCCTCTTACTCACCTTTTTTCTAAGCTGAAGTCCCTTGTTCTTTTTTGTTGCCCTTCTCTGCACCTTTTCCAATTCAGTAATGCCTTTTTGCAAGTAAGGCAACCAAAACTGAACACAATATTCTGTGTCATCATACCAAAGATTTGTACAGGGGGAGTACATCCCTGGCAGTTCTGTTCCATTCCTAGTTATGCCTAGCATGGAGTTTGCCTTTTTCACAGCAGCTGCACACTGGGCTGACATTTTCATTGAGCTGCCACCATCACCCAAAGACCCTTTCCTGCTGAATCACTGCTGACTCAGATCCCATCAGCTTATACTGGATTTTTAATTTTTAATTTTTTTTGTTCCAACGTGCATGACTTTACACTGAACTGCATTTGCCATTTCTATGCTTATTCTCACAGCTTGGAGAGATCCCTTTGGAGCTCCTCACAGTCTGTTTTGCTTTTAACCACCCTAAATAATTTGGTGTCATCAGCAAACTTGGCACTTCACTGCCAACTCCTAATTCCAGATCCTTTATGTATAGGTGGAAAAGCACTATTTCTGATATAGAGCCCTGTGGGACTCCATTGAGAGAAATTGCCATTGATTCCCACTCTGTCTGCTGTTCTTTAAGCAGCTGGTAATCCATAAGAAGACTTCCCCCACTTTTATTCCATGACTGCTTACTTTGCTCAGAGGTCTTCAGTGAGGGACTTGATGAATAGGGCAGGATCCGTCCGTCCATCCATCCGTCCTTCCTTCCTAGGAACTTAAGGTGGCTTACATGATTCTGCTCCTTTCCACCTTATCCTCACAACAGATACATCCTTCCATCCAGTTGGCTTTTGTGAATGGAATAAGAGAGTACTGTCTTTTCTCCACTTCAGCCTGCAAAATGCCTTGTGTGTTTGTTTCATGTGTGTCTGGGTGTTTCCTGATTGCAAAACATTCTTGAAGCTGTCATACCAAGCCCCCCTCTTTCTGTCAGATTCCATGCACCCTGCTGCAGTGGCATTTTGCATATCTCTGGTATTCAAGCTCACACTAGCACTATCGCCAGCAGGCAAGCTTCTATTTGGGTCCCAATGTGGAAGGAGCCCCAATTTAGCTTGGACTGATTCAGAGGCTCCCTGCTTCAGCCAGAGTTTAACTTCAGAAATGCAGAGCTCTGTATTTCTCCCCATCACCTCTAATTAGGAAGTGAACTTCTAGAACTTTTCTGTTGGGATGGTGGGGTAGAATTAGCTGAACTTTTCATAGTTGCATCTCTGAGATCAAGCCAGCCAGATTTCAGATGAATGTGTAATAGAGATTAGAGTCTGGGTAAAAAGGAAGAAAAATTCCCTTAGCACAGTTATGGCGTTTTTTGTGGGAAGTTTGTATGAAAATGGGATGCATCATAGAGTGCTCCATGTTAATTTCTGCATCTTCCATGTTAATGCTTCTACAGCATTTCAAAAGAGTAGTTGCAGAGGGATTGTGTCTTTTAATTTTTGTGAGAAAATAACAATAACCTGTATCATAGAAACCAGCTGAATTCCACAAGGATAAGTTCAGGGTTTATGGAGTTGTTTTCTACTCAGTTGAAAGCACCAAAGTTACAGAAACTTTAATTGTCAATTTACTGAATAAATGTAAGTGTACATTGTACGGTTTGTGTTAATTGCATTCTACAAAGGGAACCTTCTTAAAGGGACTCTATCACCTTTTTTTAACCAATTTGTTGTGTTCTTTGTTGAATGACTGTTCTTATTGTTCTCTCTTTGCCTGAGTACTGCTGGGTGCAATTAGTGGTGCAGTTAGGATGGGTCCTTGGAGCCAATTCAGGGCCCCACAACCCATAGAGACCCCAAATGATCACCCCAGGATCCCAGAGAATAAGAGCATCAGGGTTGCAGAAACACATACTCTTTTCTTCCTGTAGCCATGATAGCTGCTATCTAATGGAGATAAAATGCAAATAGCACAGGCTCCGAGTATTTTGTTTGAACTGGGTTGTTAAACATTTCAACAGATAGGGAATTTAGAAACAGAGAGTGTACTCGCAAAGCATGAGTGGTGGTGGGAGGAAACTTAGTTCTGTGCATCGCAACTGAATTACTACATGTGGCCAGCCATCTAAATGCTCCCCAAACATTTAAGTCCAGAGTCAAAAATAAAAACCATAAAACCATATTTGATTTTAAAGTCCTCCTCTCCCTATGTTCTTGGAGAGAGAGGAGAATGCTTGCTCCCACTTTCAGGGGGTGAAGTTCAACTTATTACCAGACTAAAGGACCAAAGGTAGCGGAGATGGGAAGGAAAGCCCTCCCGACTCCACTGCATGTTTTCTGGCTGCCTGGAGCTTGTGCATGGCCACCGATTAAAGCTGCAGGCAGGCATCGTCTTCAGCTGGACTGCTGCCCTGACCTCCATCGACTGGCAGGCAGAGAGGGAGTGCTGGAGAAGGTAGATGCAGGGGCACTTCACGTACCTGCCGGGGTGGCTGGCCTCTGCGGTTGGCAGCAGTGGGTGCTGGCGTTTCCCGGGCTCTCAAGCTCTGAGGCCTGGAGCTCTCTCTGCTGGTAAACAGTGCAGAGACAACATAGGAGGAACCTCTGGTCAGTTTTCTTTTTTATACCCTTCCCGAAAGCACTGCAATTGGAAGTAAGAAGGAGAGGCGAGGTAATAAGAGGCGAGGTAGTAAGAAGGAGAGGCGGGTGTTGTAAGCCGCCCCGAGGCTTCGGCGAATGGGGCGGCATAAAAATGTTTTAATAAATAAATCAATAAAAATAATGTAGTTCTTTAACTGGAAGCAGGAGGTGGCACTCTCAGAACTCTCGCTCCTCACTCTCTCCTGTCTCTGGCATTTTTTCTTGGATGCTGATCCCAGGCTGGTGGAAATGTGTCTCTTTTAACAGACACCCTGTCAGTGTTCTGGCCACATCTCTGATTTGCTGCTGAGGTATTGGAAGGAGCCAGGTTGGGAGAACACCTGACTCTGCTTCAGACAAATAGGCAAAAGAAACCATGCCCTGCTCAAAATTGGAATCCACCCATTTTTGTGGAATTTCCTGCACTTAGCGCTATATGTGATTTTTGGTGTAAAGTCCCTTGGTATCGTTTTCTTTCTTTTTCACCTTTTTTCTTTTTATCTATAAAAAGTAAAAAAGAAAAATTGGAATTCATTGGAAGTGAATGTACCTCACTACTGCACACCAGCCAATCTTGTTAGATTTTTTTACCCACATGGCCACATACCCAGGTTCATGACTACCTAGGTAAATACTTCTGCAAACAAAGCTGTGTACATTAAAAGAACAGCAGTCCTGCCTCACAGTGTGGCTATACCTTATCTTTAAAAAGTGACTGTAGTCACAAGACCGTGGATGAAAAAGCAGTTTTCAGGGGCACTGTTGGCTCCATGAAACAGGATAGAAGGGAAAGGAGGTTAGCAGACTATTGCACGCTGTACACAATCTAGTTTTTCAGAGAATAATGTCTGCCCAAAAGCAGAATGCACTTTATTGCAAAGAATGCAACCATATTTGTTCACTTGATGGCCACAAATTCACCTTCCTTTTCACCTGTTCCAAACTGGAAGGCCAAGGAAGTGGCTATGTTCTTCTATTTAGTGAAATCTGCTTCTAAATCCCTCTGGGTAGGGATCACTGCAGTGTCAACCTGCAGATTTTTAAAACTGCAAGGGTATTATGAATAAACATAACGGCTATTTTGAGGAAGGCACTAGGCACTTCTTTCCGGAAGGAAATGTGTGTGCGTGTTGTCCTTGTGTGTGCATTTTTTTTTCTCCGAGGAACACAGAGGGCTCATTTCTTTCCCCCTTGAGAGCCCCGAGACTAAACAAGGCAGCATATATATCCTGTTCCTAATCGTTTTGTGGAGCCCAAGCAGGAAGAGGCTGTAGGCTATGCTAAAATAGCCATAAATTCTCCAAAAGAAAGGCATTGTGCATCTTGTACATGGTACACTCTAGTAGGGCATTTATTCTGAGACACTCTGCACATTACGAGTGCATCTATAGCTTCCAGTGTTCCCTAGTCTCTGAACTAGTCTCTGAACTTTCATTTAGTGTTCCATTCTATAGCAGCTATCCCTACTCTGTGAGCAAAACATTCTAACTCCAATTTACCACTTATTGGCTCATGAAAGAATCCTCCTCTGAATGAGGTCCCCACTTATTTATCAATTTATCTTTTAGCAAGGGAGTGAAAAGTAACCTAATAAGAGCAGAGGAAATTACTTGGAGCATGCGGATGGCCAAAAATGTGCACCAAGAGATACAAGTTCCAGCTCCGACACTTAGGGGATGTTATGAACCTCCTTCATAAATGCTATGGTGGTGGGGAAAAAATCTTGGGAAAGATGGCAAAAACACCTTGGAACAAAATCAAGGTGTAATTTGGCCAATCTCCCCTTACCCAGCCCTTCTTGAGACACTTTGGGGCAAATAGCATCTTCAATGAAAAGGGGTTCTCTTTCTCCCCCTGTGCCCTGAACTCATTTCCCCCTCCACAGATCTGGGTTGGGTTGAGTTGGGTTTGGATTGGTTATGGCTAGGAACGTAGGAACGTAGATGGAAAGTATCATTTATGTATGGGGTAAGTTAACTCTTTGAAGTTAAATTTGAAGCCCAAAGTTCTCAAGACATTTCCGGTGGTGCATGAGGGCAATGCAAGAAGTGAGGGACAAAAATAACAGCACGCTATAACTTAAAGTTCTTATTGCCAGTAACTAAGACTTAATAGAGGCCTTTTGACCTTGTAGAAGGGGGAAAGTATTGTCCAAAAGCCAGGAAATCATCAAATGGTCAACAGTTGGAGGAAAGGGAATGAGGTCAGGGAAGGGGCATGGCTAGCTGGGCTGGACTGGTACATCAGGTGAGCCAGATTTGGTCTTTTGACCTGAGGCTGCACACACTTGCCTTATGGGAACTCAGTAATTTTTAACAGTTCACAGGATGCAAGTATGTAGTTGCATGTGGTGAGGAATATGTGTCTGCAACTCTTTGGAGGGCACAAGGTAGCATCTTACTTCAGCTGCTCTTGGAAGACTGTGCAGTCAAATTCTGATTTCTTTCTGTCTTTTTTTTTGGAGCTAGTTCTGCCGCCGCCATCTGGTAAAATGTTGTGCTTGGAATATTGGACTGGGGTTCAGAGACCCAAAATTGGCCAGGGAGCTCATTCGTGAGCTTGAGCCAGTCACTATTTCTTCACCTAACCTTCATCACAAAGTTGTTAAGGGGCTAGAATGCAGGATAGGAGAACCATGAGCGTTGTTTTGTGATCCTTAGAGCGAAGACAGATAAAAACGTATTAAAAGAAATATGTGCTATGGAAACAGTGTCAACTGAAGGATGACTAGTCTTGGCCTGAATAGGCTTCCAGTGGGGTTTTTTTTTTTGGGGGGGGGGGGAGGAGGAATGCAAAAGTCCCATAGTTGCAGATTCAGTCATGAATTCATGGATAATGCTGAATCGTCACTGCTCTAACTAAGCTCAGTATTGTTCACATTCTGCCTCTTCTGGGCCTTCTGTCCTTCACGGTATCCTGCCTGGACTACTGCAGAAGAGGTCTGCCTTTGAAAAGCGTACAGAATGCTGTAGCCAGACTTTTGACCAGATCTGGGTATAGGAAGCACATCACTCCCACGCTGAGGCTTTCACTGACCGTTTCCAGACACAACTCAAAGAACCGATTATGTTTCCAGAAAACCCTACACAGCTCAGGACCAGAGTTCCCACATGATGCTTCCTGGGGTTTACGATCCTTGTGGGAGCAACTTCTCTTGTTCCTGTTTCCAGTGGAGGTACATCAGGCAGGGGGCTCAGGTTGGGCTACTCCTAAGTGCTGGACCTTCTTGCCCCAAAGAGTTTGGCCTCCCCTCTGCTGTTCTTCTGCCAGT